AATGTATTTTAATAGTACATCAAAACACAAACACTCGAATCGAATGAAATAATTAATAATACACTTAGAACTCACTAATTGAATACATCAACAGTTTGGTATATGTTTCTGGTGGTTGTGGTGTAAGGTATTCCTGCTATTTTGGAGTAATTACAAATGAATGTTTAAGAACATAGTTTAATTAAAAAATAGTCTAATTGTATTGAATTTCAATTATATAACTGATGGAGACAATCTGACATTGCAAATAAATTTGTCTGGCATGGGATAAGTGGTTCTTGACTTATTGTCGTTTCTTTCTCCTTTCTTGTATGCAATGGTTCAAGTTAGATAAAGATAATGTTTCATAGAGTAAAACTGTTATTGCATGTAGAAATAAAAACTTTTTACTCTCTTGTTTTTTTTCCCAATACCCTTTTAACCTAGAAGTATATTCTTTTTGGCCTCATCTTCGTTGGGTCATTCAAATTGTATTCTCTACTTAGTGATTTTTTTCTTTTTAATTTTTTTCCTTGCTTGAGGTGCTTTCCCACCTACTATGTTTTCAACATCTAAAGATAATTTTTTAAATGATTCTAGCATACATTGCTCGGCCAGTTCATTTCCTTGTGCTTTATTAGTAAGTTAGTATCCAAACTTTTTAATGTGTGAACATAATAGAAGGTCACTTTAAAATTCATTAGACATTCGAGACTTCTTGAGTTGTTTGTATCAAAAAATGTTATAGATATCCCTTTTCGCATGAACAAACCATCGCAATAACAAATATTTGTCAGGAATCTTTGTTATATTTACCAAATTAAGAACACGTAGAGACAGAGCACACAACAACCCCATCATTTCAATTTTTTTCCCAACTATATGTGATCTCACAAATAACCTTATCAAATTTAACAATCCAGGGTTTGTTTATCTCTTGATTATCCAAATTCCTTAACTAATACTCTGAATCACTGTCCACAAAGAATTTGACAGCAAATCCACATGACCCATGCAATAACTCTTCCTCAAACATTAACTATAGCTTCCTCGTATAAAATGAAGCTGCTTACCTCAACACTGGGCTGGTTTTAACCTCAGGTGTAATAACAAAGTGAGCACTTTTGAAATCTTCCTCCTTCTCGTTCCTTCTCCATGATTTCATAACATTTTCAAGACCAACAAAACAATAATAGAGAGAGAGCTTGTGTGCTTGGATACACCATGACAGATAATATTTGTGGACACATTTCTTTGTGTTAATAAGATTTTCATTTCAAAAATTTCTTAATTGAAAGTTGTTGACTATTTGTATCTTATATTGTACAAATCATCTAACCAAATGTTGCAGTATAGGTTTCCTTTCTCAATCATTACAAACCAAGTCCCTTCAATCTCAACTTTAAAATCATTTATAAAAAAGGTCGTTCACACTCTTGATACACATACCACAATGTACCTTCGAAGAAAATTTCTTATTGATATGTCACTGACATAATCTATGTTATATATGTGGAAGACAATCTTCAATAGCTCTTGTCATTACTTGATCCTGATCAGTGAAAATTGTAATTGGATGATTGTCATCCATTATGCGAAAGAATGCTTTGAATAACCAATTGAAAGAATCAATCGTCTCGTACAATAAAAAAACAGCTCCAAAGAAAACATTTTGTCAATGGTGGTTAACTCCTATAAAAGGAGCATAACATAAATTATACTAATTCAGTCTATAACTCGTATCATAAACTATGACATCCCTAAAACAGTCATAATCAAACCTGAAAAACCCATCACTCCAAAAAAAGCTCGTCAGTCTACCGTCCTCATTAGTTTCTAAGTCCCACGCAATCATGTTATCCTCAGCATGCCTCTTTATGAATAATTGTAACAGAGAATTAGCATCACCTTGTTCAATTCTATCTCTTCTTTCTCTTTGAATAAATTGAAGGCATCTCTCTTCGCACATTCCAGGTTTTCTGCTCCCCCAACCTGTGTAGCAAAGAAGTTAAATGCACTTGTTGCCCTAAACCCTGGTCCTGTCATTGATCTCAGCACATTTTCATTTCATTCGTTTATCTTTCTACTAGAGCGCAAAAACTGCTTATCACCAGTTTCCTTCAAGGGTTGGTTATGACTTCTTACAAATTTCTTAAACATCTAATCGCCTTCAACATTGACAGCATATCAAACCATGGCTTGACATTCAGTCCTTGTGTCCGCTTTTTTTAACTTCACCGTATCGATGAACTTTGACTCTTTCTTGTGATCAGCTTTTCCACATAAATAGTCATTCTTCTTAATTTTATTCGAGTTTGGCCAAAAATTACTATGGTCCTTTCGGAAAGTGGAACCAATATGATGTGCATATGCACAATAATGTTCATATGCTTCTTGCTCATTGTGGACAATGATGCAAAGAATGTTGTCTGCAATTGGATCATTGGAAACATTTTCAAGCTCAAAGAACTGCAAATTTTACATAATTTTATAAAGATGGTTAAATATAACACTAATCAAATACTATAATCTCAATAAAACAAAACATTCCACCAACACCTTTATAATCCTACAATAACACCAAAAAACCACAAGAATAATACTTGAGTAACATCAAAAAAGCATCACAAAAATAACCTGAAAAATAGCATAAGCATAATGCCAAAACAACATAAGAATAAATACAAATAACACTAAATTAACATTGGAATAATATCAGCATAACATCGCAATAACACCACAAACAATCTAAAACCACTTCATAAAAAAACACTAGAATAACCCCAAAATAACCCCAGATTAACACTACAATAACACTGTTACTTGGAGAATTGAAAAAATGTAAATGGAAATCCTACCTCAATATGTTTGAAACCTTTCGTCTTAGTAACAAAGAAATGACCATAACAACTCCAAAACAACATTACAATCCCACGTCAATAAAATCAAAACATTACAGCTTATTAACACCAAAATCAAAACATTACAGCTTATAAAACATTACAGCTTATTAACACCACAATATCATAAAAAACTTCATTGAAACGCCTGATTAAAAATTGTTGAACACCCACAATAACTTAAGAGTACCACATTATAAACACACAAATATCACCACAGAAACCCTAAATTGTAGCACCACAACAATGGTTTTACTATAATGAAAACATGTCGGGCAAAGCTAAACTCACCTTTGTTTCAAAGTCGTTGTCATTATTTTTGGAATCCATCATCAATATAACTTGGTCTAGAGAGCAGTCCATCGCAACTGCTTGAAACCCTAGCTTCTGGAAACACAAATGAAAAATGTGACACAGTAAAGAGTGAACATTCCAAATGCGGCTGGGAAAACATGACAAAATAAGAGAAAAGGTGACTAATAAAGCTTTTTCGACCAAAAGGGTAGGGTCGGGCTGGGTCACACGATGAAAAAAAATAGCATTTTTTTGTTTTTTAAGTAGTGGGACTGAAATTTACACGTTGATGTCTTTCATTGCCATCTAGACGTAACTCTATGTCTAGAGTCCGGGAGCAATATTTTTTCACCATGTCACCAATGAAATAGGTTTCTTAATGTTGTGATAGTATCATGGAGAATTTCTGAGAAATAATTAAATTTCTTGCACCATAATAAATTATACCTTATTATATGTAATAGTGAAAAGCATACTAGTCCATAAATAAGGAAATTAGAGAAATAAAAAATATCTAATAAAGAAAACAAATAAATACTAAAAGATATATTGAGTGAATAAAATAAAGTCTTCCCTCCTAAAATTTAAAAACCTCTTTTTTTTTTTTTTTTTTTTTTTTTTTTTTTGCATCATCAATATCATGTTCTTCCATAAACAATTTAACAAAATATCAAAATTTTCAATTAATTACTAATTCATAAATTGGTTTTATCTATTTATGGAGGGGGTGTGAGTAAAGCTGACTCGTCACCCGGCTCAAGCTTGACTCGATGAGTGGCATGTGAACTAAGCTAATGAGCTAACAAGCCAAGCTCAAGTTAGCCCTAGCTTGACTCATTACCTTGTTGGCTAGCTCATTTAAAAAAATATTAATATAATCTTTATCCTTAAAGTATTAAAAATATTTAAAAAATAACATTTTATATTTTATATTAAGTGATTGTTTTTCTCTCTCTTAATTGTTCATTCTATTTGTCAATTATAATTTAACACTAACTTAAATTAATGTTATTTTTATTTTTTTATAATAAAAAAGCTAGCTCGTGAGTCTTCTTGAACTCATAGACTTAAATTCAATAAAATTAATCAACTTCAAGCTAAAGTTCAGGGTGGCTCGAGCTCAACTTGTTTACACCTCTACATCCATCAAATTGGCCCTTGCCACTATGCATGCTTTTGAACAGTGGAACAGTAAATTTGCCATATTATATATAATTAAAATTTTTAAAAAATAATTGGTGAGAATTAATTAATTATAGCTAATAAAATCATTTTGTTTACAAAAAATTTATAAATATGGTTTCAATTAGTCAGGCTTTACTTCGGGAGAAAATTTGCGTACTTGAAAAATTTTACGGTTATTACATGCTGATTGAAACTCGCAAATGCATGTGCTTCCTATTAGTCTTTGTATTAAAGTGAGCTTCCATTATTCACAATAGATGACATGAACACTTTTTATGTCAATTGAATCACCAAGAGATTCAATTTCGTTTTATCAACCAATGATTGCCAAGCAATTCTTTCCTCCACCTAAAAGAAAATCTCATCTCAGGCATCACACTGTTAGAAGATGCGCATTTGATTAAGCATTTTAGTTGATTCAACGTTCCAGTCAAGATGAATTAAGCCTTGAAAAAATTAGGTCATAAACGGAGACTTCCTTATTCAATGTTGTTAATACAAAAAATGAAGAAAATACATTTATCCAGTAAAAATGGCATGACATTGAAAATTTTTACTTCAATTTCTCCACAGGAATGAATGATGAAGGCTTCGTTTGGCTCTAAAGTCATTTTGTTAATGCAACGGAATCAACCATCAATTTGTAACTGTAGACTGTTAAAACTCATTATATACAGAAAATCAACGTGAAAATAGCTCAATATCTAACAAAAATTATTTAGTACAGTTGACGTAAACTAGACTAGACAGTCTTTTACAAACCTTTACAAACTGCTGAAAAACACCCAAATAAGCCTAGAATTAATATACATCAAGCCAGGTTTTGTTGAAAGATTATGCCCAATTATACCTGTAAGAGATCAGACAAGATTTACAATAGTAAGATGAAAGGAAAAGCCAACCAAAATATCAACTTGAGTTTTCAAGCAATTCACTTCTCAAATTGAACCCTGGTAATGACAATCACAGTCCTAAAGCCAAATTTCATCCTCTATTCAAGCATAGCGATGTAAGCAGTGTCTTAGCAGTCTCCAACTTTTTTCTTTCATCTTCACTTAGACTGGGATTTGCAATCTCATCTTCAATCCGTGGATAAATCTCTTGCAAATAAAACGTCATTTGTTCAAGTTCATTCCAGGAAGTAAACTCTTCACCCAACAACTTCACACAAATAAAATGAACAAGACCAAGAAGCAAGCCAAAATCCCTTGTATCTAGCCCAACATCCAAACCTACCAGCATAACACAGCCAAATGCATCCACTATTCTAAGGCTTCCTTTCTTTAGCATAGATACCGCCATCAAAATTAAATTTGTGAAAACAGACCCCTCTGGTTCAGAAATCTGGCCATCATCCTCCTCAGTACTGACCTTGCTGATTTCATAAAGTTCTGCCTTGCTTAAGACAGCAAGCCATGTTGGGAAATGATGTCGATTGGGTACGATGAATTTTGATTGGCATTCCTGTTTTCTGGATTTAATAAGTTGGTTGCAGCCCACTCCAAGTATAAGAACAGGCAGCCATGGCTTCACAACAGATGACATTTGCAGAGCAAGCTTTATGCCAAAATAAGGTTCTATGGCAGTAATGAGATCTAGAAGGTCATTAGAAAGGTAGAATACCTCTCCCGGTACAGCTGAAAATTCATTGGAGCGTTTAAGCACCAGATGAAGCAACTTGGCTGCGTAGGTAAATGAGCTTTTCAGGCAATAAAAAGCTTCTTTTAGATCATCTTCATTAAAAGAAAAGACTTCGCGCCGATACCCCCCCAAAGAGGAGAGTACATAGCGAGCATATGCTGAAGCAAACCTCAAGCAAGATACATCATTGTGACCAATTAGATTCATGGTTTTAGTATCAGCAATAAACTTGAGAATTGAAGTGCACATTTTAATGACATTTTCTATGCATTTTGCTTTTGGCATATCAAGTTTGAACTCACAGCCTGAAAGAAGAAGTGGATAAAGGTGATTAAAATACTTATTTGAAAATATCAATTCACTACAAAATGCTCTTAGAAACAATTCCATTAATAAAGGTTGCATTTGCATAGCATCTAATGACAAAAGTATGGAAACAACATCCTTGAAGTTGCTTAGCGCCAAATCAAATAATCAACTCAATAGGGGCATAAGCAGGCTTTAAACATAATGAGTAATACATGAGCCACATTTTAACGAAAAATTTGGTAGAAAACACTCAAAACTTGAACAGTGAATATTTTTACTGTCTTAAGTTGACGAGCAAGAGCATTTAGAGCAAATTAAAAACTTCAGTAATAACAATTCGACTATCATCTTGCAACTTGAACCACTTTGAGAGAATTAATATAAGCCAACTTTCACTACTTTGATTCATTTTCAAATCTTCTCTCTTCTTCGTGAACTTAGTACAAATGGAACCCAAAACAATTTCATTTAAGGGTTGTTTGGTTGGATTCTTTTAAGATGCAAGTATTTTAAGTGTAGAGTAACAGAAATGCATGCATTTTGGAAACACGAATCATTTGGTTAGATGTAGATCAAATGCATTGAAATTCTCTCTTGTGTTTGCTATGAGCAGTGAAACAAAATAAAGTGGCCATGGGCAGTGCCAAATAGGAATCACAAACGGGCCGGCCATAGCAGTATAGCACAAGATTTGAAAATCTAGGAAAACAATTGTTTTGGGTGTTTTATATCTTTCAAAAGTTTAGTACACATGTCATTTGCTTCGAACCTAATAAAAAAAATAAAATGCAAGGAAAATGAATGCAATACACTCATAACACTTTTGATAAAACAACCCCTAAAGCAAATATAAAACACATTTTATGCTCAATGAAGTATTAAGCTTTTTGAGACCGATTCACTTGAGAACCTTATCAAATATCCAACGAGATGCTCCTCTTTTCTTTGGGTCATTTATTTTACCAAACTAAGCTTGCATTGGTTTATGAATTTAAATCATGTTGGAACATACACACGCACAAACATTAAGCTTTGTTGAAAAATGTAATAGCCATTCTTCAATGGTTGAGCATGACCTAGAGAACAGCTCATTTGTATATAATAATTGGCACTAAAGAGCCAACTCGTTCAAAGCAACTCAAAATGAGAAATAATCGTGAATCGAAGGCCAGCATATTTCCTCCATTTATTGCAAAACAACTACAACAATCCAACAATTTGTGCGCGGTAGTTTTTCATCTATAACAATCTACCAATCCATGGATAAGAGCTTTCCATTTTTGCTATATAATTAATTATAAATATCAGAATTAACGACTAACTCTAAATTTATTTTTTAGCCATTTCTCCATTTATTCAGCACAGAAAGAAATAAAATTTGGTCATATTCTAGATATTATAACAGACAATAAGGATCTACTCCTACGAAACAAGCAGATCCTCACCACAGTCTCTCCTCGAATTTGACGAGTCATTCACAAACATTAAAACAAATATTTGTGATGACAATAACGGCAAAAACACATGTTAAGGATCCAATCGGAAAGAAGAAAATGACAACTGTCATGAAGAAAGCTAGTGATTAGGAATTTGAAAATTCTAATCTCGATATAAATCTCAAATTAAAAAATCCAAATCCAAAATCTGTATAATACATGATGAAATACCAACTGAAAAATTTTCTGAAAAACAAAAGGTTAAATCACAATAGTTCACTTTGGGCTCTAAATATTTTTTATGCCCCGGACTTTCTTGGTTGTTGAGACATTTATAGGGTTAAATTTTTAGAATGCAAATTAGATTGCTACTAAGACACTAAAAGAGATATCCCCCACATTTTGCGAAGACTTTTTTGATCTGGAGCTTGAGGTTTCTCATAAGCGCATATCCCTACAATTAATTACCCCTCCCAATAACGAGAGAGCACTTTTGATTAAGGCAAGTCATTAGGCATTGAATGATATGCAAATAGTAAAACGAGACTTAGGTTTTATGTTATAAAATTTATCACTTGGAGTTTAAAGCGGACGATGGAAGAAACGATGACAAAACCAATCAAGATCTATGGTTTCGTTATCCTAGGTCGTTGAAGTCCCTAATCTACTTAGTCAGAGGAGGTCATCAACCCAACCTAACTGAAAATTCTTGTCAATAACCATGTTGTGTCATCTAAGGGACTCTTGTAGATCTAGGATGACTGAGTGTCTAAGGGGACAAATTTACGTCGACCTTAGCTAACATAAAGTTTTGGGTTAATCAATTGGACCGGTACACAATTTAAAAAATAAAGTTGTTAGAGAACATACGGGTTGCGATCGTTCTCGTAATATAATGGTGTCATTTGGTGGCAACCACCCGGTTAAAGAGCTATGTTCATAATCGTTACATTTTGTAGAGCCTTTGAGTCATACCACGTGGTCAGAGGATTCAGATCACGTCCATACTTGCATGAAATTACTACGTGTGAATATAGTGATACATTTGATATGACATTTGTTCTTTATAAGCTGAAGTCAATAAAATATTTGTCACCCCTGACAAACCGTTGTGGATGGTCAATGAAATTTGTTTTTAGTCTTAAGTGATCAATTTAATATTAAATATTTTTGTTGATTACTTTGAAAATGATTTAAGAATTGAACCATCCAATTAAAATCTTCTATCAACTCAATCCTCATAAGGGGAATTGACATTTAAAACTTACATGCTTAAGATTCATTTGAAATTTGTCAATTTTGACATATTTAGCATATTAGTCATATCAACTACAATTCTGCCAAGGACAGACTAGATGATTTGGACTTGCAAATTTTTATACTTGTGATCATGACATTATTAGTACTTACTAGACTCGTAGTTCAGCTGAACATACAACATTGCTCCATAGATAGAGCGGCCTAATTGATTAATTTTTAAAAATGAGATTAATCAAAGTAAAATATTTATTCAAACAAGTGCAGCATTCTCAAACTCGTTAAATTTATACATGTATTTAATTTGGTGGAGCACATACGGAATTATATGTTGGTTTACAAGCATTTTGATGAAATAAGGATATATATTTTAAAATAGCATATTGAAGTTTGGAAATATCTCAAGCTCATCCAAGTTTTGTTAATTGCATAAATATTTTGTTGTTTAGATGCATATATGATCCTGACTGTTTATTAGCAACAGTATAACAATGTAATTGATTATATTTTTCACTTATCTTTCCTTACTTTGCAACAGTACCAAAACTTTGATCCTAAAGAAAATAAGAATTTAACTTTTTAACTTAATATATATTAAGATACTACACAAGTATACATATCGTTATCAAATAATATAGAATTTTTTTATTAAGTCCCGAATATCGAACCAACAGGGATTGTTCACAGTATGCGATAATTAAAGTAATAAACTTTCTACTTTCAAAAGACAAATACTTAAACTATAGTTTTTATCACAGGAATAAAATTTAAACTCTTTTTGATATTTTTAATATTTGAAAATGAAATAAAAACTTATTAAAGATAACTTGAGTTTATGTAAAAGAGAAGCACTGAATACGAAATATCTTTCTTTTTATCATGAATCAGTAATAAGTATAGGAATTCTGTTGTGGAAGTATTCAAATTGTGTTGTGTCAATATGAGTAATATTATTCTTTACCCTTACTAGAAATGCTATAAAGAACATTGGTTAATTTAAAGTTTGAATAATTTTGAAGATCGGTTACGCAGGGAAGATATTAGCTCTCACTCTAGAGTTCACTCAGTTCCCTCCACCTAGGGACTAACATCTCGTATCAAAACTTAAAACAATAAACCAAGTTGGGGGCTTTAATCTGTCACTCTAAAGTCCTAACTCTACACCCTTCAAAGATTATTTTCTATTTATTTGCACTCAACCATATGAACTACATTCTCATTCATACAATCTCATGTGATTCTTTCCAATTGTTGACTAAGACAATATCAGCCCGATTCTTACATGTTCTCACAACAAATTTTAACATCTAGACAGGCAAGATCAAGAAGTAAATGAAGTGCATGGAATTAAATCATCACAACTTCTTCCAACATTAAAGATTAATAATCTCCACAACTTCCATCCAACACTTTAATTACTTATCATTTTAAGGAGAAAGATAAAGAAAACTACTCAAAATCCATAGATAAAACAAAACCATTTTATTTTAAAAAAACACTCTTTAGTCTAAAAGTAGAAATCATTGTCAAACCAACAAAAAGTCTCGATTAAACTAAAAGTAGTTTAAAACAAAGATAAAAATTTATCTCAAATCCTCCACCAAATACTTGAAGTTGTTTTGAATCTTTTCTCTCTTACAACACTCTTAAGTCTCAAAATAAAATTAAAAACAAAAGGATAAATAAATTTGTGGTGCCTGAAATTTTCTCTAAAAGCTTCTTCACGAACTTCTTTAAGAACTTTTCAGGACTCTTCTTTTATATTTTTTCAAGAGGTTTTGGTATCTCTTCAAAATGTGTCCTGATTCGATGTATTTACTAAGGGATGCCTCGTTTCACGCGTCATTTAATTATATTTTCGTCCTTAGTGGTTATAATCACCCATTTTTGTCAATAGCTGCCTCAAATGTCCCTTCAAAATTCGTCAAAATGAATTAACCCGTGAAGTAGATGTCACTAGTGCTTAGGCACGACATTCTCTGTTTCACTGGCGATTAAGCGCCGGTTCTAGCGCTTAGGCGCCAAAATACTTTTGAACTATTTTTGAATTTTTGCTCCAAATTTGATCTCTTTTTACTCATTTTAGTATTTTTCACCTCTTTACTTATACCTGAAAGAAAAACATACAAATATTTTTTATTAAAGTGTAATATCTCAAAAATAAGTATAAAAATGTGTCTAAAAATATTATATATTTTAGGTGTATCAATATACCTAAATTCTTGACAGTCCAATCTGATGCAATTATATGACATTTCATGTTCATTATAGTGTAAACTGATAATGGATGCACCCATAAGATG